ACGTGGAAGCACTAACTAGGCTAGATACTGAGACATGGGGATCAGAAAAGAACTGTCAAAAGTCCTGCGTAACAAGGCAATGGAACTTTATAAAGATGGAAAAGGACATAAAAAGATGCCCAAGTACTGACCCCCCTCAGTACAGACACCCCCCAGTACACACCTCTTTCTTCCAGCAAAACCCCTCAATACAAACCCCCAGAAACTGATTCCCTTTGTACAGACACCCCCTTACCTCACTACCCACACCCCCCCCCCCCCCTCCCCAAGATGATTGATTGACTTGTGCACAACCAGCCTGCCCATACATGGATTGAAATTCTACTGGTCTCTGCTGAACCAGCCAACTTTCAATCCATGTATGGCCGTCTTAAGAGGAGTCAGGGTCTCTATCCACAAACTAGTCAATGGTGACTGTAAAAAGGGTAACAGCTTATTTAAGAGTATACATGGTCACAATTTAAAGAATATGTAATCCCAGCATTTCATTTTCTTGATATGTGCCTGCTGTACTATGTACTTGTATGAAACAGTATCCTGTTCTCTTTGTATAGCTTCCTTTTGTGTGCAATCCCTGGTGTTCCTGCTAGCCCCTCTGCTTTCCTATTAAAAACTGACTACATTGACAGTTCTCTAGCTGTGCTTAGAACTCAGCCTACTCTTCTCCAATGGTCAGACCTCTGCTGACCCCCCCCCCCCCCCCGTGTAGTCATTCACTGGGAAGTTCAGTGTGCTGCTTTTTCTCCTCCCCCAGCTCTATGAGCATTTTATGCAACTGAGAACAGAAGGTTTGTGATCACTTATATAAAAGGAAAAAAAAGGTGTTTATACATTTTTTTTTATATCTATACACAAGCAGCTTGCTTGGGTTGTTTTGCAATGTGAGGGTTTACATATACTTTAAGACTGGAGGAAAGGAGATTTAAACTGGAATTATGAAGAAGGATTATTACAGTTAAAGCAGCAAAAATATTGAACTACCTTCCTCAAATAGTAGTATTTGCTGGAAATATTGACAGATGCAAAAAAATTTCTAGATGTCTTTCCAATGAACACAACATACAGGGATATTTATACTCTTAGAAAACTAACTGATGCACACATAGGTTGCACTGTATGGTCCTGTGTCTTTTTCCAAATGTATTCTATATATTTTATGTATCTATATGTAACTATGTAACCAGTGTGATCCAGAAAGTGCTGTAACGGTGTCTAAGTGAAAATCATGTTCACTAGTTAATGGGGAAGCATAACATGACTATGCATACTGTATTGGGAATTGTGTAAAAGAGTTGCCCTGGGGTTTGGAGCTTTATGAGCACTTTGGAATTAAACTGGAGATGTCTGTTATATACAGTAGATCTGTTGTCAGTTTACCATGTGTGAAGCTAGCACAAGTATAATTTATTTCTATTCCATACCAAAGGAATCGCAAAAGTTTTGCATTAGTTGTCCAAAAAATGGTTGTTTCTTTGTTCTTCCATGAGCCATAAAAAAGCAAGACCGACTATTAAATCCTATGACCATTTCACGTGTACATGATCAAGGAAGCTACAAGTGCCAGATTTGCTGTTTTATGGATTGGGAACTACAAATAAAGTTCCATTAGGTGAAAGTACTGTATTTAAATAAGTAGTGCAAGAGTTTTGTGATTCCAATGGAATGGAACAGTGTTAAGACTATGCCCTGCTAGGGCACCATGGAAGAGATCAGAAAAACAGATCCTTCATAACATACTTAAATGAGCAATTCCATGTGTGTGCAGCTTGTTTTTATTGTTCTTTTTTTGGAGACTTTTAATATACAGAGATAGTGGCATTACCTTTTGTCACAATCTGTGTAGCCTCCCTCTCATGCTTCAGTTTGGGTGTATGGACCTGTAGTGAGCTGACAGAGAGGGTGGTTCACTAACTGTATTTCTGCAGTTTAAAACCTAGTACACACTAATTTTTTTTCTTTCAATTCAACCCACTGAGCTGAATGGAAAAAAAAGGGAATGCTGTATTAAGTGATGTTAATGCAACATCTTTCTCCCCCCTTCCCTCTAGAACACACTAATCAGCCAATGATCGGATTCTGGTTTTCCTTAGACTGGCTTCTGTCACACTGTGTGTACCCAGTTTTAGGGCCTTTCAGAAAAAAGGATACTGACAAACTGAGGGACTTATCTAGCAAGAGAAAATCGGACACATTCGTACCGTGCGTACAGCTGTCCTTCAGAAAGAAGCCAGTCTAAGGACAGCTTTTGTTGAAAGGACATGCTGGAAAACCAGCATCCGATCAGCGCTTGCAGACAATGGCTGATTAGTGTGTTCTGATGGGGAAGAGTGGGGAGAGTCCCCCTGTCAGAACCCAAAGGCACAGCGAGAGAGATCGCTGCACTAATATTGCTTAGTTAGGACAGTGATCACTGTCCACAGGGTTGATCGTAAAAAAACTTAAAGTGTGTCCTAGGCTTTAGAATGGCAAAACTGTAAAAGCCATTTAGTGAGTAGAAGACCCCCTTCCCCTTTCCCCATTCCCCCATCTTCCTGAGCTGCACCCATGTGCAGAAGGAGCCTGAATTCTTTCTGAAAAAGCTGTACAGCCCTTCGCAGGGCAACACAGTAAAGAGTAAAGATCTTGGGAGCAGAATGAGGGTATTTTGGGAGATAGCTGCCGCATGAGAAGAGGATGGAGTAACAAGTAAAGGACAATGACTTCTCGAAAAAGAGAAGTTCTCCTTTAATGTTCAACTCAATCGTACTTCAGAAAGATTTTATTTAGAACTAATGAAAGTACATAAGTTGCCATAATAGTAAGGTTTGCTGAAAAGAACAGGACATTATTATTTGTCATTGGTAAAATCCAATCTTTTAAGTTGTTTAAGAAGAACAATTTTCTTGTTATTTGTTTAAACATATTTGCTGCACCATTCTGGATCTCAGCTCCACACTTTTTGATTGGATAGAAATTCAGACCCTAAACCAATCAGCGTCAGAAAGTGAGGATGCTGAAATAGATGTGGATGGCTGACTATTCAACCACATAAATCAGAGTTCAGAATACAGTTATAATGATTCATGTTTTTATCAGAGGATTTATCACCAGCACTATTGCATGGATAAAAATATTAACCTGCATGACTCTGTGGAGCTGAGCGAGGTGGTAATAATGTACATTATGCATTACAGATAGAGGAGATGAGAGCAATTCTTTATCAGCAAAGAGCGAGCCAGTGACGGGATCGCTCCAGAGCCCTCTTACTAATCTGTGTCAGGAGTTTCTGATGTCGAGGGAGGATCTTGGCAATCATTCACAGGTAACGTGGCAAACGCCAACCACTGCTTTGCATTTATTCTGTGTAGCTATTATGCATTCATATGCATATTAATAAATCCTTGCAGATATGCAGATAGTTCCGTTTAAAATGTAAAGCTGTTTTAGAAACACCCCCAACTGTAAAAGGTGATAGTAATCAGAGATCTTAATAAACTCTTGTGTCTTGTAGTTGACAGAACAAATTGGTTGTGGTATTCTTCCATATTATTATAGAAATGTATATGGGATACAGGAGGTACTCTGAGTCTCTTGTGTTTTTCCAGATGGGTATTTTTAAGGGTCTGCCCAGCCATAAGTAATATTTCAGTTTTAGATAGTCTGATGGGTTTAGCCACCTGCTGCCTTCCTATACATCTTGAGGACTTAATCTCTGTTATAACTTATCTAAGAGCTTTACTAATCCAGGTAAAACAGAATATCTTCACACCTCCCAGTCTATGAATTAGAAATCCAACTAGGACAGTGGGGTCCCTTTGGGATAGTCATGTCTTAAATCCTGTATACAAAAGTGCGTAAACTACCATAAGTGTTTGGTCTATAAAGTGTATATTGAGCTGAATTGTTTTTAAGCCCTGGTAAAAAAAAAATCCCCTCCAATAAACATAATCACATTCTAAATAAATGGACCCTAGCACATAGGCCACATACTGTGTGCATGTGTTGTAGCACAAATTCACAAATGTTTTTTTGCAATTCCTTGTAGCATATGTGCATTTCCATTCATTCTCAAAGCCAACCAGTGCTCTTACACAGCTAACACTAACACACTTGCCCATCAATACACCACTAATCATGCAATAGAGAACATGTGCTTATTCTTGCGGAGCACTGGAAAATCAAATAAGGCAGGTACATTTCTTTCCCCATGAATGCATATCATAGCTTGTGAATTGGCCCTTTGTAAAAATAACTCTAAACTGAACTTAACTCTTTCACTCCTCTTGTCAAGCCATTAAGCATTATAAGAGCACTATTGTGTCAATAATTTTCATACTGAAATGTTCTTAAAAAATACTTAAAATGTGTACTATGTGCTAGGTTTACATTTTTGGACTGAAAATCTGTTAAATGTTGGTCAGCACAGCAGCTTGTGCCAAGAAGTAGTATTTTAAAGTGGTTGTAAAATCCACTTTTAATGTTTTACCTACAGGTAGGCCTATAATAAAGCTTACTTGTAGGTACTGTAAATATCTCCTAAACGTGCACCGTTTCAGAAATATCTACTTGTGTAGCAGCCAGCCCATTAAGTCTGAAGGAACGGCGTACCTGTGCCATTCCTTCAGAGCTGTGCTCCGTAAACAGTGAGTCCCATGCGCATGCGTTAGAGTGATGTCATTGCGGCTCAGCCATTCACAGAACTGGAGCCTGCAAACCCAGAAGGAAGACCAGGTGAAAATGGAAGCCCTGTTGGTGGTGACAGCACGCCACTGGAGGGCTTCATTTACAGGGACGTTTCACATAATGTGCTAGTATGCATACTAACACATTATAACTTTGCCTTGCAGGGGAAAAGTTTTTGTTGTTTTTTTCAGATTACTACCGGTTTAAGTGCTGGCTGTGCGAACAGAAGAACTACAGTATTTGTCCCCTGTAGATTCCTTTTTGTAAAATGTCAGATTAAAGTGTTACTAAACACAGAACCCCGCATTCACTATATCTGGTCTCTAACAGTACAAATAACGGAAATGCAATTATTTTAGTAAATATAAACTTCTAAATACCTTTTCACATCAGCAGTTAGAGCTGTCTTGTGACTTCTATCAGTGTCCAGCAGAGCACTAGTTAAAGCTTGTAGGAGGAGTTTTCTCTAGCAGGATGTAGAACCCCTGACCTCTGTCTGAGCAGTGCTGATTGGCCCTGTGCTGATCACATGCACTCTTCCACAAAAAAAAACAAACCTCAAAGACCTACACACCAAACTGAGCATGTTTAGTATCTCCACATCAATATGTCTTATCAGACAAAAGGGGTGCACTGGAAGAAGGGGAGGATCAGAGAAGACAGGATCAAACATCCTTTTTACACAATGCAGAGGATTCCCCCTTAGGTTCCACAGAGTATAAAAAGCATGCTTTACTGCATATACAGACTTATTTTACTGTTGTGGGTTTAGTAACACTTTAACCATCCCAGTTTATCTGGAAAGATGAGTTGGCAATTGAAAAATTTACACAGCTTATTTTGCTGGTAACATTTACAGCCGTATTGGCCAAGTGTGTGCATGTTTACAGTGCCTTGAAAAAGTAGTTATACCCCTTGAAATTTTCCACATTTTGTCATGTTACAACCAAAGTTTTAAATGTATTGTATTGGGATTTTATGTGATAGACCGACACAAAGTGGCACATAATTGTGAAGCGGAAGGAATATGATAAATGGTTTTCAAAATATTTTTACAAATCCCTATAAAATATATTTACATTTTTGGTTGTAACATTACAAAATGTGGAAAATTTCAAGGGGTACGAATACTTTTTTAAGGCGCTGTAGATCCTGTGCAGGCAACCAAGTCACTGTCCTTATTTGAAATGGACAATAATGACTGTTAAGCTGTCCATAGATGGTTGGCATCTCAGTTGGTTCAGCAAGGACCAGCCGAGATTCGAACATGTATGGGCAAGCTGAATGTACCCAAGTTGATCGATCGATCAACTTGGGTCCAACCAGCCTGTCGGATTAAAATGAGATTATTGCTAGCGACTATTATAGCCACTAGCAGTAATCACTGTGTTCTCCCGCAGGTGGGATTCCCCCATCAACACTGCCTGACAAGGGGGCATCTGCAGCATTCCCATTGTCAACTTAACAATCTTTTACTAATTGACCCAGTCATGATTATTATACAGGATTTATATAGAGCCAACAGTTTGCGCAGCGCTTTACAAAATGAAGGTAGACATAACAGTTACAATACAATTTGGTACAAGAGGAAACAGAGGGCCCTGCTCGTTAGAGCTTACAATCTAGGAGGATCAGGGATTGTCTACACATGTTAATTATTATTTATATGCAGTGAAGCTGCTAAATAAAAAGGAGCAGGGTAATATCTGCAAGAATCTTATCCAATAGTGCTTCATTTTGCCTCTTCCAATTGCAATGCCTATCTGTCATCTGTATATCTATCTCCTACAATTCTACTGAAGCTATGTGTTTGAATTAGGAAAAGAGGAAATCTGCTAAAGAAGATAGCCTGGACTTATGTGTTGGTATACAAAAAACACACATTGTTCCTGAAAAAGAAAAAAGGTACTTATACTTGCTACATTGCAAAATTCGTTCAAGATAATATTAACAATGTATTGCCTTAGGAATTCCACTAAACCCTGTGTGAATTCAACTGGCCGTATAACATAACTCTATTCTTATTTTATGTATAGTGTCCCCCATGCCACTCTAGCTACTAAACACATTCTGGCTGTGCTGGAAAAAAAATATGAAATGATACAATGGAGAATGTGGAGAATGCACTGACTCTGCTTAAGCTGTACTATCAGTCAGCATGATGGAGTGGTTGGTGGGGGCACAGACATATAGTTTTTTAAGGTATTGAGTACTAGGTTAGCTCTTCTTGGTCTTCTGTCACAAGCAAAGAATGTGAAAGTGCTAACTGGTTATAATCACTAGTTTCAACACATATGTATTTAAAAAAAAAAGATTTTTGTTTTATTGGATCGAAGTTGCTTAAAGTGAGAGGCATGTAGCTTCATGCTGTTATTTGATTACCACCAAAAACTCTTTAAATGTTACTTTCAAGAGAGAAAATAGAAAAGGATATAAATGAAAAGGGGAAAAACATTAGGGAACAAAAAGTTTCCACTATGTGTACTGTATGTATTTTACAATGTTTTGATTTTTACCTTTCCATTTTCATATAAAGAGAAAATATGAATTTTCAAGGACATGAAATGATGAAAAAATCAGAAAACACCGACACCTTGGAAAAAGAACAGAGTAAGAGAACACTGAAATTACATGTGCAAAGTTGTGAAGGTTTTATTTTAAAATTGAAATTGGAAAATTAACATATACTTGTTAAAAAGAAAGTTAGAAAAGTGTTATACCTAAACTTAGCAGTTGTTGCCACTGAACATACCAAAATGTTACCACTTAATGTTCTGAGGTCATTGATGTCTAGATGTCGGCCAATTTTAGCAGCAACAACATGTGTTGGTTACCTTGAAGTGGACCTGAATTTAAAAATGGAAGATTTGCTATGTTACCTTAGTAGTACCCTAAAAAAATTTACCCTTTGGTCTTAAATGTCTCCTGAAAAATAACAGAGCATTTCCTGGTATGTGAGTGTGCCTATGGACTCCTCTACAGCATTGCTGCCTCTGACTGCTAGCCTTTGAAAATTTGCTGCTCTGTTCTCCTTGCTGGAGACTCTGATATGAGGATGCAAAATCCTGCCTCTACCAACATGGCCACTTTAACGCAGAGACAGAATGCAGAACAAGGCATGATAAGTCTGTAGCGCAGTGGTTCTCAACCTTTCTAATGCCGCGACCCCTTAATACAGTTCCTCATGTTGTGGTGACCCCCAACCATAAAATTATTTTCGTTGCTACTTCATAACTGTAATTTTGCAGTGGGAGGACTAGCGCCCCATCACTGATGTCAGTGGGATGAATAGTGCCCCATCGTTGGTGTCAGTGGGAGGAATAGTGTCCCATCGTTGGTATCAGTGGGAGGAATAGTGCCCCATCATTGGTATCAGTGGGAGGAATAGTGCCCCATCATTGGTATCAGTGGGAGGAATAGTGCCCCATCATTGGCATTAGTGGGAGGAATAGTGCCCCATCATTGGTATCAGTGGGAGGAATAGTGCCCCATCATTGGTGTCAGTGGAAGGAATAGTGCCCCATCATTGGTGTCAGTGGGAGGAATAGTGCCCCATCATTGGTGTCAGTGGGAGGAATAGTGCTCCATCATTGGTGTCAGTGGGAGGAATAGTGCCCCATCATTGGTGTCAGTGGGGGGAAGAGTGCCCCATCATTGGTGTCAGTGGGAGGAATAGTGCCCCATCATTGGTGTCAGTGGGAGGAATAGTGCCCCATCATTGGCGTCAGTGGGGGGAATAGTGCCCCATCATTGGCATCAGTGGGAGGAATAGTGCCCCATCATTGGTATCAGTGGGAGGAATAGTGCCCCATCATTGGCGTCAGTGGGAGGAATAGTGTACAATCATTGGTGTCAGTGGGAGGAATAGTGCCCCATCATTGGTATCACTGGGAGGAATAATGCCCCATCATTAGTATCAGTGGGAGGAATAGTGCCCCATCATTGGTGTCAGTGGGAGGAATAGTGCCCCATCGTTGGTGTCAGTGGGAGGAATAATGCCCCATCATTAGTATCAGTGACACCAATGATGCGGCACTATTCCTCCCACTGACACCAATGACACTTGCTGACCCCTGTTGCAGTATGGTGCTGCTGCAGCCAGCATATGTGGTTGCAGCAGCACCTCTGCACTGCACACTTACCGGCTTTTCCCTCACTCGATTTTCGCGGGTCCGCTCGGCTCCGCCTCCTCGCCCGTGATTGGCCGCCTGTGTACCTTTCCTGAGCTACAGTTCTGGCGGCCAATCACCGGTGAGGAGGCGGAGCCGAGCGGCAGGAGTGAGGGAGTGGCCGGAGTGACGGAAGGAGCAGCGCTTCCTGGATGGATCATCGTGGGAGCCAGGTAAGATACAGCAGCCCTCTGCCCACCCCTGTGGCTTTAGAAGCAGCGCCCCCTGCTAGACATCTGCAGACGTTGACTCGAGTATAAGCCGAGGGGGCCGTTTTTTCAGCACAAAAAATGTGCTGAAAAACTCGGCTTATACTCGAGTATATACGGTAATGAATTTAACAACAGGTGCACTAGATGAGCAACAATGAGATGACCCCCAAAACACGAATGGTTTTACAAATGGAGTCCACTGACATTTTTTTCCCTAATCATCTTTTTCTGACTATTTTTTCACTAGTTTTGCATTTGGCTAGGGTCAGTGTTACTACTGGTAGCATGAGGCAATATCTGGACCCTACACAAGTTGCACAGGCAGTTCAACTCCTCCAGGATGTCACATCAATATGTGCCATTGCCAGAAGGTATGTTGTGTCTCCCAGCACCGTTGCAAGAGCATGGAGGAGATTCCAGGAAACAGGCAGTTACTCTAGAAGAGCTGGACAGGGTCGTGGAAGGTCTTTAACTCACCAGCAAGACTGGTATCTGTTCCTTTGTGCAAGGACAAATAGGATGAGCACAGCCAGAGCTCCACAAAATGACCTCCAACAGGCCACTAATGTGAATGTCTCTGACCAAACAATCTGAAACAGACTTTGAGGGTGGCCTGAGGGCCCGATGTGCTCTAGTGGGCCCTGTGCTCACTGCCTGGCACCATAGAGCTCGATTAGCATTTGCCATTGAACACCAGATAAAATCAAAATAAAAAGAACCTCACGAGCAATAAATGTGCTATACCGATGAAAAATACTACTGAAAGCTGCTCACACTAGCCAAAATACTCATATCATGTGCGTAAATTCAAACTATAAAAATACAGTGCAGCGCTTCCTTACAATAAATGTGAACCTAAAACAAGATTTCAAAATAAAAACTAAAGTCTGTGGTGAACATTTATCAATAAGCGTGACCATGCATCAATTGAAAAAAAGTCTCTAAATGGTGATTTCTTCAACTTGAATGGATCTCAAAACATTTCATATCTTCATACATCTAAATCCTCCACCATAAGTCACCAGATGTGCCCTCACCTGGAGTATCTGATCTCACATTATGTCTGGTCAAAAAACGCATGTGTCCCTTGACAATTGGAAGGTCCGTCACTGGCGCACTGTGCTTTTCACAGATGAGAGCAGGTTCACCCTGAGCACATATGACAGACATGAAGGGGTCTGGAGAAGCCGTGGAGAACGTCATGCTGCCTGTAACATCATTCAACATGACCATTTTGGTGGTGGGTCAGTGATAATCTGGGGAGGCATATCCATGG